GGTCACAGCAGAATTTTTTAGGTACGAGCAGGAGATTTGCCTTCAGATAAACGAAAGTCAAGGGACGTCGGTCGCCACAGATCTAATGTTCATGTGCTCAGCTCACGTTCATGTTTTTTTCCCAGCTAGAATGAGCAAATGATTTGACCCAGTTTCAAAGAACGCTGAAAAGAAACGGCTCTCTAATGGCAGTGACCCTCAGCACCAGACTTACTTTATCTCTAGACATCTCTGCTCACTTCCTGCACCAGTCAGCAGTGACACAAGACTGAGAGATGGCGGGGTTAAAGCTGAACTCTTGGTAGAAGAGTTCATATGAAGTCTGGCAGAAGTGTTGTTGACACTATCTCTCATCACCGGATCTTGATGAATGTAGAATACAGCACTGTACTGGTAGCATGAGATCATCATGCTTGTTTTTGATAGACCATATGCATGGAAGACTGAATGATTTTTGACAGCCTCTTATTATTGAAATATTCTACTTGTAAGGAAAAATGTACCAAAAAACTGAAAATTATGAAAAAATGTTGGGAGCCTAAAAACACAAACATTTGAAAATGGGTTTCATAGTGCAAGTTTTTGAAAACAGTACTGTTATTGTTTCTGTGTAAACTACAAAAATGCAAATTTGTGAACATGGTGACGTCATACGCATATGTATTACATGTTCAGACTATAGAGTGGTGGAACTATGACGTCACTTTGTATGTGGATCGACTGTTAGCATCGCACTGGTTCCCTCGACAAAAAGCCAATGGGATTTTTCCATAGGCTTTTGGGTTATCGCAAAAAAATAAGCTCTGTGTTCAATCATAGTTCATGAAACTTACACGTTTTGTCCATCAAGATAATCTTCACAAAATAATACAACTTTTATGAATTTTGAAGCCAAAATAAAAGCACCAGTACTTAAAAGCTAAACTTAGGTTATAAACGAACTACACCACCACAGTCGCTCGCCTTCAACGTCACCACCACCATGCTTCCCACAACTTTTTAAAACTTATTTTTAACGTGTTCAGTGAAAAGGATTTACTCTGTGGATGGATTTTAATCCACGCTACATGAACCTTTTCATATAAACTGGAATAAATACAAAACTAGAGCCAAACTGAAATGAGACATTAGTAATAAATAGAATAGTGAATAAATTAAATAATCTTTACTAAAGGACATATGAAAGCACGTATTTCTATACATTTCGAAATAAGGTGCATTAAAAGTCAATAAATCCTTGATTAATATGAATCTTTTAATTAAAAGCGTGTGTCCACGTACTATTCAATAAAATTCTAGTGCATTAATCTATGAAATAGCAGATTGAGCGAGTTTTTGGATTTGGTAAGATTAAACTTATTTTAGTGAATAAAGTACCACATTTCAGCTATCGTTTTGTTAGGATGGGTACACAGAATGTTATTTTATCCTTGCTTCTAGAAAATCCTCAATCTGCTTTCTAACAGCTTCTTGTGGCCATAAACATTTCATTTTAACATGGCTTTAAGCACTATGCATCGTTAAAGTTTCACTTTCACCGTGACTAAGCCGGTAAATGTGGTGTTTACATGGAATAATCATATGATTTTACCTTATGGTCCGAACCCAGAGTCTTCGCATCAGTAAGCGATAAAACGAGCATCTTCTATCCGAAGACTTGTGTTGCATTTCGGGGCAAAGCAAAAAAAACAACAACAATATAAAATGCGGTAAACCATTAATTGGTTATTCTACAATGAATTGTACTATAAATTATACTACAATCTGAAAATACTGTAAATTGATAAAGTGTTCAGCGTGATGACGTTTAATGTCTCCGACAGCGCCTGTAGTCCCATTTAGCAAC